TAAGGAGGGTTGCTAAAGGGTTTAGCTGACTCCGGAGGGTCACTTCGGAGGGTTCCCCCTAAAATCAAGAAAAAGGGGTTAAATCACCGCAGTAAAGCCTCTGAAAGCGGTCTACCTGACTTAAGACTAGGTTGGCTGACACGGTCAACCTTCCCAGTTGAATAAAAAGATGTTTTGATAAAATTTTCTGCCGCTCGGAGGGTTGCCCGTTACTTGGACCCTCCGAACCAACAAATTCTAAAAAATTTTTCTTTTCCGAAATAATCAACCCAAAAACGGTTGCGATTCGGAAAAATGGTCAAAAACGTCGACTTATGGTACCAAAATTATCCCGATCGGATAACTAGTCTTTGAGAAATCGCCAAAAACGCGTTCGTCAAAATGGCCTTTTTCACCACCTGTGTAGGATCTGAAAGACTTTTTTCGCAATTCCGGTCGAAAGTGCCTAAAAATACTTGAAATGAGCGTAGTAGCCCTGTACGGCACTGGAATAATGCAAAAAACCGGACCAAAATTGGTTTAGAAACAAAAATTTGGCCAAAAACTATCAAATTTGGACCCTCCGATTCCTTCCTTTTCCAAACCTTAAGTCGTTAGCTCTATCCACGGAGCTACTCGGAGGGTTATCCAAAAATTTCTCTAGTAACCGAGCACGTTATGCTAGCACGCTCCTAACGCAAAAAATTTTATTGCTCTAACTCTAAAAACTCAAAAAATCGATCCCCAAAACAGATTGACAAAATACAGAAAATTATCAAAATTTTGGTCGAAAAATTCTCGTTTTCCTAACTTCTACTGAATCTTTGCTCACGCGGTTTCTTTAATAAAGGGGATCGAACTACGTGGCTACTCTCTATATAAAAGCTTTTTGCCTATCGGAAAAGCTCGGATATCCGAAAATTTGGGGGTCTACAGTTTGGTCGAAAATTGGTAATTTTCGACAAAAAATGGGTGTTTCTTGGGTCTAAATAGGAGATAAGTAATATATAGTAAGGACAATAATCTATAAATAGTCGTTAATAAATAGTACTATACCCTCCTTTGCACCAAAATATTCGAATTAAGACCCTTAACTCGGAAATTTGTAATCGATGGAGGGTACAATCGGACCGCGCCAATCGTGCCCCCCACCACTTAAGTTTTAAGGAAATAGTACCCGAACGATACTAAAATTGCTTCAACGATACCCAATAGTCGTTGCGGATGTTGTCCTTGATGTCCCTGTTGAGTGTGGAACACGTTGATCAGCCTGCCACTCTACCCTCCGGTCACCGGCAAAATCACCATTAACGTGCTTAAACACTCAAATTACACTCGAGGGAGGGTACCCAACCCTTCACCAAAACACACAATCTCTCTATCAGAAACGATATAAATCAATCTGAAACAACAACAAATAGGAAGGTCAGATCACATCTCGTCCGGAAATAACATATAAACTGTCACTTTATGTTTTTTTTTTGTTTTTGGTCTTTTTTGGATTTTTTACTGTTTTTTGTACTTTTTTTTTGTTTTTAAATAATTATTTTTGGCTTTTTCTTGGTTATACACTATTTTTTGTTTGGTTTTACGCTTTCTCTTTAATTGTTTTTGGTCCTGGGACCTCAGGACAAGCGGGCTCTAGATTTCCCACCTAACCCTCCGACCCCCGGAATTTTCGGTGTTAACTAAGTTAAAAAGCTAAATCGTACTAGACGGAGGGGTACGCACCTTCCCCCTAGTACGAAAACGGTCATTAAGGCCTCTAACTCGGGCATACGCCCGGAGCGGAGGGTACGTCGCTGAAACGCTTGCTGATCATGATGGTTTCATGCCTTTAACAGGCCCACCCAGGAGCGCCATAAAAACGTCTATGTAACATTCGCCCAAATATCACACAGCGACGGAGCGTAGAAAAAGTACCTATTGACGACTGGCAGGCGTCAGTTACCTTAATTCCACTCGTTTTTCACCGTCTCGACCTTGCCAGTTGATTTTCTGGTCTGTCTAGGGCAAAGTAAAAAGTTACTATTTTTAGGCCATCAGTCAAACGACTTTTGATCAGCTTTCGTTTGCATGCGAACACAACCACATAGCTGAGTCTCGGATCCTCAGACTACGTGATTGTCATTAAAAACACGGCTCGAACCACCTATTTCTATATGTTTTTGTGTGACAGTTTTATATTAAATCCATTGGAGATGGATTGACCTTTTCCTTTCTCTATCTACTCATGCTCTGAAATATTAAATAATAACGGTGTTTAATTCAGATCTAGGACATTACAGCAACTGTTATGGCTAGTTTACACAGTCCCTTCACATATAACAGTCTCTGGGGGACCAAGCCTCCGCTCCCGTGATTTTCTTGAGACAACACTCTTATCTCCTATATTTCGTGTCCCGGGAGGGTTCCGTGGTATTTCTCTTCCCCCCACTGAAGCCTCCGTCTCCACAAATATCCGTCACTAAGGTCCTTATCGTGTGTTATTGCCACGATAAGAGGCTCCGTAATTTTCTCGTCTCGGATACAACCGTTCGTCACAAAATATGGCGTCGTTCTGATTTTTCTCTATTTTATTCAAAATGGCCGTCTTTTTTCTATTTCTCAGAAATGTTCTCCTTCAAATCGAAATTTTAAAAATAAAAATTCCAGAACATTCTGACCCTCCGTCGCAACACTTTTCTGTTCGTAAGGCCTTTAGTCACTTTTTTTTTCGTCGCGGGAAGGTTATACTGTGTCATCCGGCGGAATGGCACAGATCATAAAAACTTCATCGAGAGAAGCTTGAGGGCGTAGAGTTCCGATGACACATGCTGCGTTAGACATCGGTATGCAAACTGATATTCTTTGTCTAAGGAAGGCAGATGCACGGGCTTCGTTGGTGGAATCTTGAATCAGCTTGCCGAGCTTAGAAAGAAAACGTTTGGTGTCTGGTCCTGCGCCTCCTGGTCCTGCGATAAATATTATATTTATCAAGAGGACTTGAGATAAGGAAAACAATCCTACGCAAAATTAATATATATTCGTTTCGTACGTTTGCCTTGTTTAAATGTTTTGAGTCCGCCTGATTGCCCCGCGCATGATTGGTGGACCCCTAGCGAACAATTCATCTGCTCTGGAGTAACTTGGGCACAATTTCGCGCCTTTCTCACGGTGTAATTTCTTCCATGCCAATCGGACGTGTTCTGCCTTTCCCATTTTTGTTGTGCTTCCGCGCGGCAGCAGTGATCACTTTGGCTTACGGTTGAGGTTTTTGCGGCAACGAGTGTCAGAATCAATATCTTCTCGTGTGCCTTCACAGACGTCATCTTTGGTTTGATTTACTAAGGTTTTCATTACTTTTCTCATGCACTCAAGATAAACCTTTTTAAAAATAAGTTTGTCTTAGCAATGGGGCGAAAGATTAATAACAGCAAAAATTATGTCCAAGTTTTTTTATTTCTTTTTTGACTACTTGGCTTGAAACACACTTGAGCGCTATTTTAGTTGGACGTGGGCCATATATTGATATAGGTCGTGCTGATATTTTCATGATTTTTTAAACCGTGTTAGAGTTCTTTTTTGCCGTTTTGTTGCTTGTATTTACGAAGGGCAGTGCTGTTACTGTCCTTTTGCTTTGTTCCTTGTTCATAATTACACAAGTAAATCTTGTGTGATAGTATGCGTTCTTTTTTTTCCAACCAAAGTCGCAAATATTAGTGTTCATTTTCAAAGTTCATTTTGATCATTAACCAGCTATTAAGTACATCCAATGCTAAGGATATTAACACGGACTATTATATTATAAGTCGCACTTCAGCTTCAAGGTATCATCGATCTGTAGTGTAGAGGTAAGGAAGGAGACCCGCAACAAAATAAGAAGGTTCAAACCTGGGCAAGGTTGTTGTTGTTGTTGTAGCTACATCGATCTCTGCTTCGAGCTTCTGATTGAATTAGAGAGATCGAGAGAGAGAGAGAGAGAGAGAGAGAGTTAGGAAAATTTCGTTTGTCTGGTCATGTTGGTTTTGTCTTGTTCAATCTATCACTGCAGCTCCCCCAGGGTCTCTAGCTGCAAAACCGACATAGAAGGGGAACCAACTTTTCCAGTGATAGCGTCTCTGTGCTGGTGTAGGCACCTTCCCTCTGTATAGCACACTCAAGAGGGAGGTTTCGGTGTGGTATTGAAACCCGTTCTAGGGGCTAAGTTTTTCGGCGTGCGGAGAACCGAGTGAAACTGCCCGGTTCACGCGGGCAGTTTTAAGTTAGTGGGGAGGACCGAGAAAAACTCCCGTTACGTGGGGTAATGTGATAACCTGCAGATGTTTGGCAGCTTCTTCGGGATTCTCCCATAAGCTCTCGATGGTAAATGAGGTTGGGTGTACCCAGCAGTTAAACAGATGATCGGTGGTGTGTGGTCTTATGTAGCAACTTGGGCAGACATCGGGTATATTGTTGTTACGCCTGTGGTGGTAGCTGGCGAGGTGATTTGAGTATCCGAATCGCAGCCGTGACAGTGTGCAACGAGTTTTCCGATCAAGTTTGCTTTCATTTGGGGATAAAATTGGAGGTATTCTACCAAGTAGGTATTCTACCTGGGCAAGGTCGGATGTTTTAATGAGCTTTTTCGTATAGTTAAAAATTTTCCGCTCTATAAATTGAGGCATGTTAGTTGGTAATTTTTTTTCTAATTGACTGGTACTGCTAATGCGTCATAATTGCCTTGCGTCACTTAGCAATTATGTAGACTCATACTTGGCGTGTGTCACTTAAGAAGTTTTGAAGACTCAAAGTTTTACTCAATCAGTTTTTTTCCAGTAGCGTTATCGGTCATGTTTTTGCTTGTGTATGTGAAGTGCAACTTCGCCTCTCTGTTGTAATGATTTTTCTCCAGGTTTGGTGATAATCGTTTCAGAATATTTTTAAAATCGAATATTTTTATTAGCAATAAAATAATGCCTCGCATTAAGTTTCTAGCTATTGACTTATTGACGTTCAGTCATGACCTGATTCAATTCTGAAGATAATTGAATCCTGTTTAGGTTCGAAGCTTGTCTGCGGTTTTGTTGCGTCGCTTTCTCTCAGCCAATTTTGACGAGATCAACGAAAAGATGACCGAAGAATCTAAGTCACAGATTAAGGAAGCCGTTCTGAAATTGGTTCTTGCCGAGCAAGACGAACAGCTGTCTAGAAAGATATGTGATGTGGCTGCCGAGCTAGCCAGAAATATTGTTGGTAGGTGCTTATTCTCTCAGTGTACAGTCAGTTAAGACAAATGGGATATTTCAGATGTTCACCCGCCATTCAATGTACAAGATTTAAATCATTCTATAACAGCTTCTGATCAATTTTGAAATATGTACTTTTATTTGAACCCAAACTAGATGGTATGCAGTTAGACTTGCAATTTCTTAGGGCCAAGTGGTATATTTTATGGTAATTTAAGGTAATTTAATTTACGATTTGATTAGCCAGGTCACTAAAATTTACTTGATAATGTGTTGTTAGCTGTGCAACCTGAAGATGGACCATATCCATGGCAGCAGCTCCTGGAATTTCTTTTCACTTGCGTTTCTTCAGACGCTGTACACCAAAGAAATGCAGCATTGTACATTTTCGTCCAGTTCCCTGGTGTACTGGGGGAACAGCAAAACAGATTCCTCCCAGAAATCAAGACTCGTCTGGCAGTTTGTATCAAGGACCAAAACAGTGCACAATGTAGACTTTTAGCGGCACGAGCTGTGCTCGCGTTTGTTATGTACAACGAAGGAGACAAAACAGTGACTAAGTTGTTTGAAGATCTTTTGCCGAATCTCTTGATGGTGGCCAATGAAACTGCTAGTGCGGGGGAGGATGACTCAGTTTTGAAAGGACTGATTGATGTGTCCGAATCAATGCCGATATTTCTCAGACCTCACCTGGAAGCTGTATGTCAATTGTGTCTGCAGGTACTTCATGAATTGTCCAATACCCTTCTGTTCACAAAAAAAAGAAACGTTTCGTATAAATGAGGCATTTGATTTTGGCTCGACATCTTAGTTAGCTTATTTCTTATTCAGAAAAAGGAGAAATATATCCTACATTAGCGCACCCATAATTTCAGACTTTGAGAAATGACTGTGCCTGTGGAATAATTGGGCAACAAGAGGAGCAGTTAGCTAAGTAAGGATAGCCGTTTGCTGTGCAAGTTGCACAATGTTCCGACCATGAAGCTATAAAAAAGTTTTTTTTAAATTATTTTTTAAAAAATTTTTGTGCGTGGTGTGATGAGAAAACTATACAAACGCGCAGATCGTCAGTGAATTGAAAATTTCCGACAACAGTTGTCTTGAAAAAATAAATAACAAACAAAAAATCAACCACTGCCCTAATCACATAAGAAGTGCTTTCAAATTTATAAATGCACATATGAATGCTCTTAGTTATATATGAACTTTTTGAGTTCAATTCAAGTTCATTTGCTAAAAGTTAGGCAAAATGCACTCTCCAATTAGGAAAGCTGAAATGGCGCGAAAAAAAAACGAGACCGATTTCTAGTATCAAAAAGTGAATTTTATTGATAGATTTTCCAGCGGAATAAAAGTTTTTCCTAGTCATCCAGTTTCTTAAATTTTATTTTATCAGAAAAGTGCCAATTGTAAATTGCAATTGAAATTCAATGAACTTAAAAGCCATGTTTTTTTTTGCTTAAAACTCAAATGAACGTTTTTTAAAAAAGACAATTTTCTGTTTCTGCGATCTTTGACTCGTTTCGAATTGTCTGTTGGCTGTTTTCAATTTTTGCACAAAATTCATTTTTTCAAATACTATTACTAAGGAAGCACTAAACGGAGCTTCCTAAGCTAGTTTGCTTAGTTAAATCAAGGGGCTTAGCTTAAATAACCAATTTTCATAACGAATGTTACTTATTCCATCGCTTTACTCGCTCGAAGTTACACAAAAATTTCTAATAGACTTTTGTCGACACTGGGCCAACTTTTTGTTCGAATCACAAGCTAAAAAGGCTTTGATATGAAATATCCTTGGACTCATTCCGATGGTTATTTGTGATACCTGGTTTGCGTGGGAAAAAAAGAAACACCCGAATACAAAGTGTCTCTATTTTTAATGGTGAACAATGATTTTTTTACATTTAGATTTCTGCGAACACAGAATTGGAGGATTCTTGGCGTCAATTGGCTTTCGAGTGCATCACAACTCTAGCTGAAAATGTTCCTCAGATGTTGCGCAAACACGCTAACAAGATCATGCCGGAGATTGCAAAGCGAGGACTGCAGTTTATGACGGAATTGGAAGACGAAGCAGACTGGTCTTTCCAAGAGGACAACGACGATGACCTTGATACGTAATTACTTTAGACATTCATTGTTTACAGTGCCTTTTCAAGTGGTTAATTTGTAGTGCTGTTATAAAATTGGTGTTGTTTTGTATAGAGTAGCAGTAGCGGGAGAAACAGGGTTAGACAGAATAGCGTGTGGTGTTGGAGGAAAAGCATTCCTTCAGTTCATCACTCCAATGCTGTCAGAGCTTCTGGCGTCACCGGACTGGAAGTCGAGACATGCAGCTTTGATGGCCATATCAGTCATCGGGGAAGGGTGCCACTCCCAGATGGAGTCTATGTTGCCCAGAATAGTCCCCAGCATCGTGCCTTTCCTGGAGGACTCACATCCGCGTGTCAGATACGCGGCATGCAATGCTATGGGACAGATGGCAACCGACTTCAACCCGACATTTCAGACCAAGTATCACGATGCTCTCATGCCTAAACTGTTGATGGTTTTGGATGATAATGAGAATCCAAGAGTACAAGCACATGCAGCCGCAGCATTGGTTAATTTTTCCGAGGAGTGTCCGACGTATGTGATGGAACTATACTTGCAGCAGATTCTGTCGAAGTTGCAGGTCTTAATTAAAGCAAAAACGGCGCAGGTGAGTAACCCCTTATTTTGTGTTCGTTACCCTTGAAAGACTTTTTGCTATCGGGTACTAGACTTTTTTCCAGTAAGCAACTGTCCACAGATTTCAGCATGCACGCAGTACATGCATGCAGTGTGTGCGTTATATTTGAGCTCATTGGTCTATTACTCTCACTGTACATCCTTATTAGTGTTTTCCCAATAAAATTGCAGTACAAATTTTTTTTCATGATATTTCTTTGGTATTTTTTTTCTCGATTTTTCGACTTCGTCGCTTTCGGTTTACTTTTTGTCGGCTTAGTTTCCGCTTTGTTTTTACCATCCATTTAAATCGCTTATTTGAATTTTATTTTCTTTTTTTCATAGTTACTTTTAGTGTTTTGATTTATCTCTGCTATTTCTTTGTAATTTTTTAAACCTTGACATCGTATATATGTTTTTTTTCGATTAAAAACTGTTTTCTCCCAAATGATTTCGGACTATGTTTTATCGGCTTAGTGACCTGGTTTCGAGTGTTTCGTTGAAAGCATGTTTTTATGCTCACCTCTGGATTGCAGAGAATGACAACAATTTTTCATCGCTTTTTTGTTTTTTCCTTTTTTTCGGTTCGATAGCTTTCGGCCTATAGTATATCGGCTTATCGGCCTCATATTGCTTCCTTTGACGAGCGAAAGAAGTGTGTGTGTGTGTGTGTGTCTCTGAGTTTTGAGGGCGAGGGGCCTTGTTGTTGTTGTTTTAACCACGCACTAGTTGCCTTTTCATATGGCCCAGAATGGTTGTTTGTGCTTGGTTTCGTTTTCGGTGTTCTTGGTTGCTTGATTTCGTCCCGTCTCAGTACTTGTCTTCAAGATACGATTGTTTTGAAATTGCTCCAGTGTTTGCTAGGTAAACACTGCAAATCTCCAGTTCCGTGGCTCTCGGGGGATATTAGGGCTGATGATATAAAAACCACAAGTGCTTCATCTCCATTGATGGTGATGAAGTAAAAAGTCACGAGTGGCGACTACTCAAAACCCTGTTTCAGAGACTGGGCGTCTTTACTGGTGTCTTATCCTGTTGAAGTTGCAATCATCCGGCTAATGTGTGCTGTTGTGCAGCCAGCATCTGCGTCGACTAATTGTGCTAATAACTCCTAAGGGATTCAGCTTTCCTTATGTAGGGAGGTTTAGAAGTTGTGCTACCTTACTCATTCCACAGGCTTTCTATTTTTAGGTCTGTGGGCCCCGCTGGAATAATTAAACAGGTGGTGACTGTCATTCGGCTTTGTTTGCATTCTGGGCATTCATTTTTAATTTTTGAGTTGATTCTTGAATTGTAATTATTAAGCAGGGGAGAAAAGGTGCTACGGAGCTGCGAAACTCTGCTTCTTGTTATCCGTGGCCTCTGCTTTTCTTGGTTGCTTAATATTGGTGGCTTTTCTCCTTATAATTGTCTTTGTTGTTCTTGGGGGTAACAAGTTTAACTGTATTGGTATGGATTGTTTTGATTTCAATACGTTTGGCGGTCACACACCGCTTTGGTTCGAAAAACAGGAAATGTCATTGTGATTTTGTTGATGCAAGGTTCGTTTAATTGTGCGCCTGCACGGCACGGAATTGGCAGTGTCTTTGTCAACTGTGTACTGCAGATGAGATACCAATAAGAATTGTTTCGCTATCATTTCGCTGTGCGTTCTAACAAGTTAATTTTGTGTTTCGGCGTCTAAATGATCGGTGACATCATTACACACCTAATTATGATTCTTAATGCCTCAATTCTTCTTGTTTGCAGCTCTTTCAACTTAGTATCACTTAAACTGGGAGACCAGATGGGCGTGGTGTGGTTAAGAATGCTACAGCTTATTGTCTTGAGTTCCAGTGTCTCCTTATCGCAACTGCATGTGGTTCCTGCTAATCTTTTAAGGAAGTTATATCTACCTTGTAATTTTTGACATGTTCTAGTGATATGCTGCCCAAATTGACCTCGACACCGATTCTTGAATTTAGTGATAGTCTATTTAGTGATATCTTGATAAAGTGTTAATGAGCGAAATGAATTTTTACATTTTTGTTTTAGTGAAAGACAGTTAAACATTTTCAGGCTATTTTTTTGCTGTTTGATTTTAATTTTTGGAAGCTCGCGTTTTCGTTGTCAATTTCCAATTGGAGCTCAAGTTTAGCTATCTGAGAACAAAATGAAAAATGACTCATAAATTGAAATTGCTTTTTTTGAAAATCACTAAAATCCTTAGTTGAATAATACTAGCCTGTTAAAGTTATCCAGAACAATAGTCATATACAGAGGCGAAAGGGAGCCGAAAACGTCTTCCAAAATTTAAAACCAATTTTGAATGAAATTCAATTTGATGAAGAGCTAGCGATAAACGATTGAAAAACGATTGCTAGCGATAAATTATCGTTACAATAAAATTTACCTTGAATAGAAGCCCGCTATGCCGAAAAAAGTATCATAAAAAATCTATCAAGAAACACACAAACGTATATACATGTTTTTTTTGCTCTTCAAAACTCGTAATATAAGGTAACTGGACCGATATATTAAAAGCCGAAAACATTCAAGCCGAAGCAACCTTAAACGCAAATAAAATCGGAAATCATACAAAATCTTAAAGGTTAGATATGGTTATCTAAATTGGTTAAAATAGATGAACCTTCCAGAAGTCGGCCAGAATAATTTAGCAGAAAAACGATAGCCTTTTCCAAGCGTGGTTGTTACGTATAAGCTAAATGGGCCGAAGCAGCCATTGGATTTGAATTGAATATAAACCGAGTTACCAAGTCTGGTTTGATAGTCTCAAGCGGTAAACTGTAGTAAATTTTCGCCAAATGCCTTTGTATAAGTGTTAAAGGTCAATATAGAAAGAAACTATTTAATTTTTTCTTCGAGAAAAAATAGCATTTTTTGAATTTTTCTTTGCATATTTAGAAAACTTCGATATTCCATTTCCTTTAATCGATCTGCAATGAAATTGTTCAAGTCTAACGAGAATAGGGACACTTAGTTGCTTGCAAGGAAGTCCAAAAAATTAGGCCGAAAACATAAATTCGAAGACACGCAGCCGAAAAAACTGGCATCTAATTTAATGTTCTTCTTTACCAATAAGAAGTATTCAGTTTTAATAAAAAAACAAAGAACTTATATTTTTGCTGCTTAAATTGATTTGATAATGTAAACGTCTATTGGAAAACTTATTGAGCTAAAAAAAAACAGCAAGTAAGCCGACAAAAATTGGGACGAAATCCAAGCAGCCGACAAGTTTCAGCTTTTGATACAGAAAGACTGCGACAAGAAACTGATTTATATGCAAAAATACTACCATGTCTATTGAAGTTGAAGATGAAGCCAAATTCGGTCATCCCATTCCCGGAGCAAAATTTCGTCCGAGAAAAACTTTGGTGTCCGGTTGGAATACCCTTACTTATCACAAGGGTTAAAAGCTTACGTAAATTGCGGTGGATAAGCTTTCAGTGATTAAAATGCGTTCCAAAAAATAAAGTTTCAATATTGGTTTTCCTTTTTCTTGAAAAAGCATATTACCTTAGTTCAGTAAAACTTGGCGTTCAAGTGCTGTGTTCAATTTCTAGTTGGGTGCTCCTGGCGCAAAGGCTGTGCTTGAGCAGTCAGTGACAACTCTGGCAGCTGTGGCGGATGCCTCCAAAGACGCCTTTACACAGTTCTACGATGCTTTTATGCCGGACCTGAAGCTGATCATGATCAATGCCAGCAGCAAGGAGCTGCGCATGTTGAGGGGCAAAACGATAGAGTGCATCTCTCTTATTGGACTGGCAGTGGGCAAAGACAAGTTCATGCAAGATGCGTCTGAAGTGATGGAGTTGCTCCTCAAGGCACAGCTGTCTCAAGAAGAGTTCGAGGACGACGATCCACAGGTATTAGCTTTACGCTATTATGTAACAGCCTAGTAGTTTATATCTCTACTATTTGAATTAAATAGTTAGCTACAAGAGATTTTTTTTACGAGAATCTACTTTCTTAAAACGTTTTTTTTTAAAACTTCGCATATCCGGTTTTCTACTGCAGAACTGTATAAATTGCTTTCGGCGTACAATCCAGCGTGTCTTCGATACTCGTACAAATTCTGTTGCATCAGTGAAATAGCTGTTATGTTGATTTAGATATCGTACATGATGTCAGCCTGGGCGAGGATGTGCAAGATTTTGGGGGCTGAGTTCCAGCAGTACCTGCATGTAGTGATGCCCCCATTGCTGAAGGTGGCACAGCATAAACCAGAGGTACAGGTGCTGGACCAGGAAGATCTCGAGAGCCAAGAGGACGAAGATGGAGGGGGTTGGCAGTATGTGAGCATCGGCGACAACCAGAACCTTGGAATCAGGTTGCTATATAATAGTATATTTGCTCGAAAATAGTACCGATTAAGTTTAGATTTTGCAAGCATTTGTCAAAAGATCATGCTTATATAACGAGGCTATTATTAAACTTGCGAGAGCAATTGTATTGTTAGCGGGAACAAGTCTTTTTCCCGTAAAAAATTTTCTTACAAACCTTTCATGTTTTTCTTACTTTCCTAGAGGTAACGCGTTTTCCTCTGTACCCTTTGGTCAGGGGTTCGAGTCACATGCGGACCTTGTTTTTGCTGTATGTATGAAGTTTTTTCCGGGAACAATTGAATTGTCGGATTTTCGTTCGTCTGATTTTTTGTCGGCTTAGTTACAACATCGGGTAATTTTCTTGTGCTTCCAGTAACTTTCTTCGTAGGTACTAGTGCTTTAGCTTTTGCTATAATTCGTAAATTTTATAGCCTTTATGTCGTGGGTATTTTCTTTGGTTTTTCTTTTTTTTTGCTTGAAAGCTGTATTCGGCCTAAATGGATTCGGCTTAGTTACCATTTTTTTGTCTCGCTTCAAAGGCAAAAATGATTGTTTTTTTGAAAAGTGGGTATTTTGTATTGAAAGATATCAAAGTTTTAAAACTTAATTACTAAAATTTCTTTTAAAATTTCTTATGGCATTTTTTGTTTTCGGCTCATTGGGTGTCTACCAATTTTTGTCGGCTTAGTGACCGCTCGGTAAACACTATAAGCTAACTTTTTCTTGATATTTCCAGAATTTTTTTCCGAAAATATTTAGGTTTCTCTAGGTCTTGGTGATTTTTTTAAGAATAATGAACGTAGTTAAGACTCTTATATAGGTCTTGCTGATTTGTTTTTTTTTCAGGAGAAAGTCTTAAATCTTTTTAAATTCAGTGCAGTTCTATTGGCAAAAGGAAGGCAAACTCCGCCATCGAACCGGAAAATTGTAAAGGTCACGAAAAACGTGATCGACTTATTTCGAAAATGGAAATTAATTATCAGATTTCCCAGCGAAAAAAGTTTAACCTATTGATTCAGTTTTCTCAAATTGGTTTAATGTTAACAAAAAAGTGACCATCATAAATTGTTTTACAAATTTAAAGAGCTTTAAGTCCATCTATTTTTTCTTCGAATTTCAAAATTTGAAGATTTTTGAAAAAACAAGTCATTTTTTTCGGTTTTCTTGCGTTAATTTTTCTTCTCCTACCGTCAGTTGGCTATTTTTGTTTTTTTTTGCATGAAAAGTCTTAAAAATTGTTCAGGTTCATTTCGATATTTTTTTGCGGTTTGACTTATAATTTCGTTTTAAGTTCACATCACTTCCTTTGTTTAAAGGAAGGCAAACTCCACCATCGAACATCTAAAATGTCACGTTAAAAGTGATCTATTTCTAATTTAGAAAGTAGAGTTCAGTTTTCCGACCTCCCAGCGAATTAAAATTTTTAGTTATCCATCCAGTTTTCTCAAAGTGGGTTAAATTTTCTCAAAAAAGTGCCAATCGTAAATTGTTCTAGAATTTCAACACACTTTAAGGGCATCGATTGTTTTCTTTGAAGTTCGAAAGTTGATATTTTCACAAAAAACAAGTCAGTAATTTTTTTGGTTATCTCGAGTTTATTGAATCTTTTCCAACTGTCTGTTAGCTATGTTTTTTCCGTTAGTTTCGGAAGTGGAATTTAATTTTCAGATTTGCCAAGGAAATGAAATTTTTAGTTATTGAAAATTAATTGGGTTAAATTTAACAAAAAAAGTACGAATCTTAAATTGTTCTAGAATATCAAAGGGTTTTAGGGGCATCGATTGTTTGTTTTCGAAATTCGAAAGTTGAGATTTTTTTCAAAATACAAGTCAGTTTTTTTTATTACTCGCGTTCATGTTCATTTTCAACGATCAGTGGGCTATGTTTCAATTTTGTAATATCGGTCTCTTTTTCTTTTCGTGGTGCTTGATTTGAATCGCAGGTGGTGCGAAACGGCAATATGATTAGAGTTATACGGGACTACAATTATTCCACCCAGCAGTCAAAAACCGATTGTATATCGATCAAACGGCCTAAACGACAAAACACTGACCGCCACAGTCGTGCCAACGTGATGCGAGCTTGCCAAAAGAGTATAGGACTTACTTTTGTCGCAATTCACTGCACCCACATATATCTTATTTATTCAGTTGGGAAACTAAAAGTCATTTTCCAGTTTTGCGCCACATCCACTTTTGTTTTTGGAGAGCGTAATTTGAATTTCAGAAAGCAAAGGAATCTTTGCTTCGCCGCTTTCATTTTATGAGTTAATTTACGGAGTCAATTTAAATTGTGTTGGTCGATTTTTTTACAGTCAAATTAAGCTCTCCAATAACAAAAGTGGATGTGGCGCAAAAACGGAGGTTGACTTTTAGTTTTCCAACTAAGTAAATAAGATATATGTGAGTGCAGTGAATTAAGACAAAAGTAAGTCCGACACTCTGTCGGCAAACTCGCATCACGTTGGCACGACTGTGGCGGCCATTGTTTTGTTGTTTAGGCTGTTTGAATAATATACAAATGGTTTTCGACTCCTGGTTTTGGACTGATCGTTTTCCAGTCTAACTCTAATCATATGGGCGTTTTGTCTGTTCTTAGACAGACCACTCTACCCATTGACCGGTCACACAAATAAGCGTATAAAATATAAGATATAGAAAATAATTCACTGTTAGCGCCATTTGGTTATCTGAGGAACTTTTCTTAAATCAAATCACGCGTTTATAGCCTACAATTACCAGTATATCAGCTCATATATCTGATTAACGTGGGCAAACGCCCTCTCACTACCTTGGATTAGGAGGACGAATGCTCTCGACGCGAGCGGCCTTTTTGGCAATATTTAATGGCATCCAGTTTTGGCTCAGCAACGGTAAAATTTTTCTTTTGCCGCCAATATACGACAATTGTCGTGGACACTCAATCCAAAAAAGAGCTTGAGGGCTATTTTCATCAATTGATTCCTCTAAAAACTTATTTTGCCTTAGTTTACATCGACTTGGTTTTTATCAATTTTAGCATATTTTTCCGGTTCTTGATGAATAGTAGAAGAGCGATTTTGCAGTTTGTATGTATCTCCGAGTTCGTTACTAGTTTCAGTTTTTGTTGAATCTCCTTGCAAATTAAATTAATGTTTTGCAATATTAAAAATGGAGAAGATACTTAAGACGTCAAATAACCTCATTTCAGTCGCAAGTCATAGTTGCTTTCATCATCATCATCATCATGACTAAGGCACTACTGCCCATTGTCAGCCACATATTGAGTCCCGAACTATCGCACGCCATCGCTTTCTGTCCAGGGCTGCCTCCATGCAGGCATCTTTCCAGCACAATCTCCACTTGTCTGCCCTCATGTTCCGTGGTTTCAGAACACGTTCGAGGTCAGCAGCGACTGTTGATCTCCATGTTCTTCTGACCCCACCTCTTGGTCTTTTCCAAGTGGGCGCCTTCTCGAAGAACAGTGCCTCCTTCGTCACTCTCTCATCCGGCATTCTGAACACATGTCCACACCACTTCAGTCGCATACGCCTCAGCACATAGTCCATAGGTGAGTCAAGTTGTGCTTTGCGAGGCAGTTCCTGGGTAGCTATTTCGAATCCATTGTAGACAAATCGCCGTGCACACCTAGTTTCGAATGAGGACAACCTGGCCAGGTCCCCTTTCTTAACCGGCCATGTTTCTGCGCCGTATAGGAGAGCACTTCTTACGCATGCTTTGTACACTTTGCTTTTGGTCCTGGTGGTTATGTTTCTGTTACTCCAGAATTTCTTCAGCTGCGCAGCATTTCTAGTCGCGCTGGGTATTCTGTGCTGAACTTCTGGGGTAATGTCTCCGTTACAGGTGATGCGGCTTCCTAGGTAGTCGAACTCAGTGACGTTTTCTAGCTTAACATCATTACAAAATAGCACCGTTGGCTCGCAACAGGAGAACATGCACTTAGTCTTGGACTCGTTCAGTTGGAGTCCTACCAATTTTGCGGCGTCAACTACTCGATTCAGTAAGTTCTGGGCGTCATCTGGATTGTCCTCTAGCAGGCAAATGTCATCTGCATAGTCCAGGTCAGTAATACTGGTTTCTAGCCGGATACCTAGATTCGTGTTATCTGTGGCGACGTTCAGGATCCGATCAATGAGGATGTTGAATAGGAAGGGTGACAGGACGCCACCCTGGCGGACTCCTGTTTCCACGTGGAACGCCTCTGATAGGTTGTCGTTTCTTCGCACGATGCTGTTGGACTGTGAATACATGTTCCTGAGAATCCTAAGCAGCTTGTCTGGCATTCCGTGATCTTCCAGGATCTTCCATATGGCATCTCTCTTGACGCTGTCAAAGGCAGCTTTGAAATCTATGAAGACCATCACTGTGGGTCTATTGTACTCACTTCGCTGCTCGATTATCTGTCGTAGGGCGAAAATTTGATCTCTACAACCTCTTCCCTTCTTAAAGCCGGCTTGATTATCTCTCGCATATGAGTCGTAGAGGTCGTCAAAACGTGCGAGGAGTATAGCTTCCAGGATTTTTAAACCAATGCAGAGCAGAGATATTCCTCTATAGTTGCTGCACACTAGTTTGTCACCTTTTTTATGAAACGGCAGGAGTATTGACGTTCGCCATTCATCTGGGACTGCCTCTTCTCTCCATATATTTTTGAAGAGGTCTTTCAGAAGAAGTACTATTCTCTCACCTCCTTTTTTGAACAGTTCGGGTGGGATGTGGTCGCACCCGCCAGCTCTGTGGTTATGGAGGCTTGCTAGTGCAACCTCACTCTCACTTCTTAGCGGCTCTCCCTGATCTATATCCGTAAAGACTCCAGTACTCGAGACGACCTTGGGCAGTTGGGCCGGGCTGTTGTCAGCATTCAGAAGTTGGCAGAAGTGAGTTGCCCATCGTTGCATGACTTCCTTGCTATCGCTGATTTGTTGGCCATCGAGACCTTTGACTGTTTGTGAACTACTCGATTTGGCACCACTCAAAGTCCGAATGAGGCGGTACATCTCTCTAGTGTGTCCTCTTTCATTGGCGTCCTCAATTTGATCCGATTTCACGTCGAGGTAGCAGTTCTTGTCTTTTCGGATGAGTTTTTTCACCAGCTTTCGTTGCGCAGCTATTTTCGAGAGTTCAGCGCCCTTAGCCTTGAGGTTTTCGCGTGTTCTGATGGCTTTGAGGGTTTCATCAGATATCCAAGGTTTCCTTACGGTGCACGAGATTCCCAGATTCTTTTTCGCCGATGATATCATACTGTCTCTTAGGATTTCCCATTTCTGGTTCACGTTGCTGGTAGATTCGGTTACTGAACAAAGGGCCGTACAGTATTTCCTGGAAGTACCTGTATGTTGGAGCGCATCGAGGTTGAGTCTAACTGTTCTATGGGTTTTGACATATGTACGAAGTTTCGTCTTCAGATTGCATTTCACCATTCTATGGTCGCTGTCGATCCAAATCTTGTCACTTCTTGCTCTGATATCGTTGATCGCTGTGCGCCATCTCCTCTTGATCAGGATGAAGTCTATCTGGTTCCGGGTTCGTCTGTCGCGTGATATCCAGGTATATAGCTGGTGGTTCTTCTTCTGGTACATCGTGTTTGCAATTGCCAGGTCGTTCGTAGCTGCAAACATAGCGAGGCGTTCTCCATTGTCGTTTCGTTTCGATGTTTTTATGAAACGACCTATGTGTTGTTGTTCCGCGGGGTATGCCTGTCCTAGGCTGGCATTTAGATCTCCCGCTAAAATAATTGCATCACCGTTGGGGCATTCTTCAAGAGTCTTTTGTAGTGTTCGGTAAAACTCATCTTTGTCGAGAGCTTCTGCGTCCTCAGTCGGCGCATATCCACATATAATGGATAATGGGTAGGGTTTAGCAAAGATGCGGGCGGAGCAAACTCTGGGGCTGGTTGCTTTCCATGATTGCACGGAGCTGCTGAGTTTCTTGTCGATTGCGATACCAACTCCGTGGATGCCTCGGTTGTCGTCATACCCACTGGTGTATACTTTGTAGTTTTTGGTGTTATGCGTGTTGTCTCCGGAAATTCTAGTTTCCTGAAGGCAGGCAATGTGAACTCCATGGTTTTCAAGGGATTTATCCAGGAGCTCGAGAGATCCTGGCTGTAGGAGCGTCAGAACATTCCAGGTGCAGATGTTGATATGGTGTTTGGTATGTTGGAGCGGTTTTTGTGCCGGATTAGCATTTTCCACCATGACGGCATTCATGGTGGCCCCAGTTCCCGCGGGGGGCGTAGCAGTATTCGGACTTTCATAATGTGGGTTCTTGGCTGGTTTTACAGGGCTCGCCACGCCCCAACCCTCCTCCTTTATCCGGGCTTGGGACCGGCTGCCTTCTCAAGAGAGTTAACAGGCGGAGTTCATAGTTGCTTTAGAAGTTCATGATAGCTCTTTAAAGAGCGCATGGTAGCTTATTGTCTACTTCAGTTTGTAGAAGATTGGTAATAGAACTTCAAACATTTGCCTGGTTTTTATCAAATTTTAGCCCTCCAGAAAATTGGAATGAGTGTAGTTCATAGGCGATCTGCTATCAAGTTACCCAGTTGAAGTTCGTGTTATACGTTAGGTGCTGTCATGTTCCCAGCAGTTCCGCTTGAAAGAAATGTTTTTTTTTGTTACCATAGAACAGCGGGACTGGAGGATAAAGCGACTGCATGTCAAATGTTGGTCTGCTACGCCAGGGAACTGAAGGACGGGTTCGCAGAATACGTAGACCAAGTGTCTGAACTGATGATACCCTTGCTCAAGTTTTACTTCCACGACGGAGTCCGATCAGCAGCAGCCGAGTCTCTTCCCTACTTGCTGGAGTGTTCTCGTCAGAAGGGCCCTGAGCACGTGGCTATGTTGTGGCGCACGATCTGCGACAAATTGCTGGATGCCCTTAAAGCCGAGCCAGAGAATGAGATCCAATCTGAATTGATCACTGCTTTTTCCAAGTCAGTGGAGCTGTTAGGAGACGGATGTCTGGATGATGTAATGATGAATTCTACTCTTGAGACTATGGAGTACTTGTTTGAGCAGCACTTCAAGCGCCAGACGGACAGACTGGAAAAGAGAAAAGACGAGGATTATGACGAGGGAGTTGAAGAGATGCTACAAGATGAGCACGAGGGTGATGTCTACTTGCTGAGCAAAGTGGCAGACATGATCCATGCCTTGTTCACTGTCTACGGGGCCAACTTTTTACCCGCGTTTGATAAAATTGTGCAGCACGTTGTGAAACTTCTACCAAATGACAGACCCAGCACGGATAGGCAATGGGGTCTGTGTATTTTTGACGATGTCATTGAGTTCTGTGGCCCGAGTTCAAGCGTTTACTCGCAGTGGTTTCTACAGCCCATGCTCAAGTATTCGATCGACAATGAGCCTCAAGTGAGACAAGCTGCCTCATATGGCCTCGGACTGATGGCCTTGAATGGAGCCCAACAGTATCAGGAAGTGTGCATCAGTAAGTGTTACTTGAAATGTAATGAGAGCTCTCTTAAGCCGATCAATTTTGTGGGTGCCATATAACAAGAAAAATTCGAAATAATATCATCCGACCGGTTAAATTTTCTTGCGCAGGAGGCAGAGAAAGGATTGGATATTTTGTACCAGCTGCATGAGTTGCATGTGTGATACCGATTAATGTCGTTGGTGTTTTAAGGTGGGATTCCGCTGTTGAAACAAGCAATAGCACTGCCAGAGGCGCGTACAACACGCGAACACATATGTGCGACGGAGAATGCAATCTCTGCCCTGGCCAAGATCTACAAGTTCTGTCTGCCACTGGCATCCAACTCTGGTATCAACATGCAGGAGCAGCTGGCAGAGTGGTTCACGTGGCTGCCAGTGATGGAAGATAAAGAGGAGGCGGTGTATGTGTACAACTATTTGTGTGAGCTGGTAGAGGCCAATGAGATGGCAATTCTGGGCCAGGGCAACAGCGGGGTGAAGAGGGTGCTGGAAGTGATGGCAGACGCGCTGGCAGTTGATGCCCTTGACGAGAGTGCTCCCACGACCCACAGGTGTGCACACATCATCCAGCAGATCAAGGTGAGCTCACGACGAGTGTCTGGTCAGTGGTAACTCTTTAGTGTCACGTGTTATCAACTTTGAAGTTTAAACGTTAATGAAACGTGAAAAAATAGAGACTAAATCATTAAAGGAGGCTGTAGGTCGATACAGTATGAGAATTATATTTCAACAAATTTAAAGAGGCTATTCTTCATTGTTTATTAATTTAATTCAGATCAACTCTTGGCGAACAGCAACTCTTTTGAAAACTCAATTCAAAGGAAATGTTTGAATTGCGTTTAGTTCTTTGGTTGATCAGACGTTGTTCATACTCTTATATAGGTATTGATGGATTTTTTAAAAAGTTCATTGATGTCTTTTGAAGTTTGTTGATTTCTTTTAAAGACTGTTGTTAATTTCTTTTAAAGACTGTTAATTTCTTTTAAAGTTCATTATTTTTTGCTGAAAGGAAGGCAAACTCCACTATCGAACAGCAAAAAAGTGAAAGTCACGAAAAAACACGATGAACTCCCAGTTTCAAAAGTGGATTTTATTTTTCTGATTTCCCAGCGCCATTAAAAAAATTGACCTGTCCTATTAATGCAGGTTTCTTAAATTGCATTTATTTTATCAAAAAAAGTCAATCTTAAAACTTGCGATCAGCTTAGTGTGTTGAAACGAACCTTCGTTTTTTCTAGCCTAACTCGCAAATGAAAGTGTTCACTTATTTGGAAATTTCAATTTAGCATTGGAAGTTGCATTGCATCTGTTCTCTGCTTAGTTATTGGCTAGAGTATGGTAACTCTTAAGCTTCCGTGGCTGAGTGGTTAGAGTGTGAGTCTCATCATCTCTAGATCACAGGATTGAAGTTCAGAGGTTGCCGTATTTTTTTTTTACTAATTCGAGGCTTATTTCTAATTTTTATTATTGCACTTTATAGAACTAATTTTTGTCGTTTTCTCGCAAGTGTTTGCGAAGCTAAGCTTTGCCTCTGTTATTATTGAAATTCACAGAGTTTTAAGGCCATAGATTTTTTCTTTGAAATTCGAAAATTGAAGTTTTTCTTTCTGTTTTCTTGTGTTCATGACTTGCGTTCATGTGTGGGAAGGGATCATCTCATAGGGTTGTTTTTTTCCCATTTAAAATCGGGTACTTAAAAAACGCTCATAGGGTCTTGAATCTGGTATCATATTTGCTGCTTAGACTTAAACTTAGCGAAGAATACAAGAATTCGTTGCTTAATATCGAAGTCATCGATAATCGAAGTCAATGAAAACATGGACCGGTGACTCGTTTTTCCGAAGAATTTACCCAAAGAGTTTTGTTGCGGGATGTTAAAAAACTGATTGAGTGCTTACCTTGTTTCTTTGTGTATAGCAAAACGAAGAAATGTGGAACGTTTGTGTGGGAAGTATGGCAGAAGCCCAACAACACGCTCTGCTGCAGTGTCTCCAGTCTATCTCCGCAACAGCCACGCCCTCTTCTTAACTCACCTTCCCTACCCTCCCTACTAGGTACCTCCCACACCATCCATACAACAGCCGAGTGAGAGACTGTCATATCCGGTTTGAAACCGAATAACCAAACAACTTGGCACGAGAAGAGATCAATGAATGGCTATGTAGTGTAGTCTGATATAACTGAAGGTCGAATGATTATAAAGATGCATTTTTAATTTTGTAAATGACCAATCCTTTAATTGGACGTTCCTAATTTATCGTAACTTGATCCTCACCTATTCCTTCCTCAATCAATTCCTTTACAGTTTGAACTATTATAATAATTTGAATTTAAAAGCAGAGTGGAAGAGGCGAGGGATGTTTGCTCAAATAATTCTGTTGTGCTGAGTTTGCTATCGTGTCTTGGATTGTTGATCTCGTTTCCATAGTGTCGTATGCTTGTCTCTAATTTGAGCCATTTGTTTTAACTTTCAATTGAGATGTGATTTTCCTCCCATTTTAATGTTCCTTGCAGTTGATCTAAAAAGGAGCTTGTCGACTACTGTGTAGTCTGTAATAACATAATTTCTACGAATTGTTCTGAACTACGGATCTCATTCTGTGTTTGGCGTCGTAGTCTCCTAATGTGATCTGTGATCATCCGAATTTAGTTGGTCGTCGATTGAGTAACACCTGAGAAAAATTTATTTTCCAAACTAGTTTTAGCGTCAAGACATCTTCAATTTCCTGACGGAAACATTCATTGGAGTCGGGAGACCTCAGAGAAGATTTTCGATGTTTAAAATTTGAAAGCAATTAATAATCATTTTCAACTTGCGATATTATTTTACAGAAGCGGAAGGTGTTATTCTAAGCGTTGTGTAATAGAACGAATTTACTTTTTTTCCAAACTAAGTGGTAAATAAAAAGCTCGTTTGGCAAAAAAGGCTGAAACACCACCGAAGCTTTCAGTTATAAGCTCCAACCGCCTCACAGGATTCATCTCATCGGCTGGACTGACCTGCTCGCCGTTAGAAATAATTGGAGCCTGTTTGTTTTTCAAGTACCGCCTCTATTTAAAATCGCTTTTTACTCTCTTGGCTCTAGATTTACAAAATACGATTTTGTATTCTTTTTTTTTTCATTGTTTTTATATTCGTGAATTAGTCCATTAATCAACAGGATAGCAAAAAGCTGTTGTTCTGATCACGCTATTCAAGCAATGAAACTTCGAACAATTTCAATTTAAGCTATATCGTAACTCGGTTTGAAAAAATCGGTACGCGAAAAGTTGAAGTTTTTCTTAGCAAGCTATCAAACTTAAAATTAGTTCAAGTTATTTCATGAAGCAATTCAGGTGGCAAAACGATCAAGGTTTTCTATTGAAATCCTTCAAGCGATGAAACTTTGAAATATTTTGAGCTATTTCAGATTAAATCGGTTCGCTTCGTTATATCAAAATTAGCTTCTTATAGAGAAGGGTATTGTCTCGAAAATTTTAGGCAGAACTTTTTAAAATTTTTTTCATTTGAAAAATTGGTAATTTGTATAATGACAAAAGTAAAATTATTTACACGTTTTCTTGGTATTATATTCTCTTTAAAATTTGTTGGGTTCTAAAAGAGGTTCATTTTGATAATACTTTGTCAATAATTTACTCGGTGGTTTCAGCTTAGTTTTTGATTGACTTTAAAGCCAAAAATCATCTATTTTGGGGTAAAATTTCGGGGCCCGAATTTCGAAAAACAAAGTGCACCATTTTATTTCTGCTGGAATTCTAAGCAAGTTTAATCTTCATCATATTTTTTTCTTAAATCAGCTCAGTGAAAAAAAACCGTTTCAAGTTCCAAGTGATTTGTGTTTTGTCGCGATAATTTAAATCAGCTTTGTGTTCCAGCTATGACACTTTGAAAAGTTATTTCGTACACTGAATCGGTCTCAAACGTTTTCCCAAGCAAGCTATCCAAGCTATGAAACTTAAAAACATTTCAATTTATTTTATTGGCTCAATCGGTTGACGAAAGGTTGATTTTTGAGGCAAGTTACTGAAGCTATGAGACTAAGCTATAAGACAATAAAACTTTAGGCCATGAGACCAAGCTATAATATTTAGGCAAGCTGTGAGACTGTAAAATATTTCAAATTTATTTGTAGACTGAATCGGTTCGCGCAAAGTATACTTGTTTCAAAGCAAGCTATTCAAGCTACGCAAATTTGAAGCATTTCAAGTTATTTCATAATTTGAAGCAGTTGGAATTTCTCAAGTTTAGAAAATATTAGGTTCGCAAAGAGTGATAGTTCGCAAATAGTGGTGGTTCGCTAGTAGAGGTGTAATAAATTCCAAGCAAGCTTGATTCGGGTTGCTAAAATTTAGTTTTTCTAAGCATGGAAGTTATTGTTTTTAGTTGATTCATTTCAGACTTAAATGAACCTGTAATAGTAAAAATTGGAGTGATCAGCCAATCAATGTCTAGCCTTGAAGTTGAACCGAGCTCATCTTGTTCGAAGAGTTTCCGAAAAGACTTCTAGAGTTTTCCAGACTTTAGAGTGATTAAACGTTTCTGAAAAATTTTGCCTAAACGCCTCTTGAACATTGAGCTCGTTAGTTGTTCTGAATGATCATTAAACGTTCTGATCTAAATCTTCTTAAATGTTGTGCTTGATAGAAAAGTTGCGTCCATAGCTCATTAAATTTTTTTATTTTTATTAGCTTTTATAAGATGTTTGGCTTAATATGTTCCGAATTTAGTTATATCGGCTTAGTTGCCTCATATGGCGTCGTTTGTAGGGCAAGAATATATTTTCATGCTAATATATGCTCGTTCTAAGCTAGAATTTCTTTTAAGTTGTTTATGACATCTTTTTTTTGGTTCAATTAGCTCTACCCGAATAATTTTGGTAAGTTACCGCTTCTTTTTTTTTACGCTGATGTTGTCTTTGCCGACATGCGTTCTCACGTGATCTTGTTTTTTTTTCCTTTTTCCAACCCAGTGACTTACGCCATTTTTGTTAACAAGGATGCCATGTGATATTAGCGAAGTATCGCAAATGGTACACGCTTTGCATCGCCTGTTTTTATGTTGTTTGGTATAATTTCAGTTCTTTATTTTTATCGGTGAATAAGGATTCGTTATATTTTATTTTGGCTTAGTGGCCTGATATTGAGTCTTTCGATGAGCGAAAAAACTGAATTATGCATGGATGTATTTTGAGGGCATCTGGAAAACTTTTTTGACCTAGCTTTCATAAGAAATTGTTTTTTTTTTCGACTCATCGGGTTTATGCTCAATTATTTTCGACTCTGTTGGTGCTTCGTAAGTTTTGGCGTATTGCTTGTTCACCAATCAATGTTCCCATTTGGTACGCTTTACTCAAAATAAATATATCTCAAACACGATCCACACATCGTAATATTTTGGTTGATCTAATTTTGTTAACATCGATTTGTATGCTTGTGATTTGCAAGCTTTATGAAATTGGAGTTAAGACATTTTTTTTACAGATGAATACTTTGTGAAACAAAATCAATTCATTTGATAGCTTGATTTATAATATTTAACTCGGCTTCTGCAGAACTTTTGACCTAGCGGTAACGACTCTGCCTGGGACGGTAAAGGTTAAAGGTTCGAATCCTACCATGACCTGTTTTTCTTTCAAACTAAGTAATGTTTTTAAATAAAGTCGGCCTATCGTTTGTTTGATTCTTTTTTGGCTGAATAATTATTTCACGTCGGCGAATGTTGTGCTCGACGTGTTTCGCTCAAATTGAACATAAAATTAAGAAATTTTTGTAACGGTGTTTTCTACTTTCTTTCATCTCACACTCACACATCGCAAGGGTCTTGTAATTGGGAACTAAACTTCCCGTAAACAACTTTTCTTGCCAGAAATTGAGCTTGATTATTGAACCCTAACAACTTCAAGTTCTTACCTCTTGGGCTGGAGGTAACGAGGTTGATTTTTTTCAGTATGTATGGAAATCGAATTTTTCGGTAAAAATTGAATGGTCAGATTTTCGTTTGTGTGCTCAAGTTTTGTTGGCCCTGCTGCCACGGGTTTTCTTTTGCTGTAAGCAAGTACCATAATAGTTGCAAGTGTTGATTATTGTATTTTCAGGGGGGACCTAAAACTTTTAGAAGTTTCTCCTAAAACCAGTTTTTTTGCTCAACTCGTGTCTGCTCAAAGGTTGTAGGTTTTATTTCCGATTCGTAAGTTTAGTTCCGTTGTTACTTACGCTTGCGATTTGCAAGCGTTATCAAACTGGAAAGTGGACCTTTTTTGGGTTAACAACTAGTTTAGCAGAAATATTTTACCTTTGGTTCATATGAAATCGAAAGGCAGATCTTGATTCGCGCTTGTGGCACCTGCTAACGAACCTGCTTATGGCACCTGTTAACGCACCTGCCTATAAATACAAATGTAAATTGTTCGAATCCGGTCAGGACCTGTTTTTTTTGTAAGCGGAAAATTGTTCGCGCGTCAAAAAATTCTTTGCCGGACTTCTGTCTGCTTAGTTGCCGCAGCTCAAAATTAGGCATTGTTTCCTCACATTAAAAACAGTTTTGTGTATTCCGGTTTTGGGCAAGCAATTGAGTATACAAAATAGAGTATACAAAAAACTGTGGCCCTCGGAAAAGTCAGTTTTGATTTTTTGAACGTTTTTTGAGACTTTCCTTTTTCTCGAGAACTACCCTCTTGAATCTGCGATTTTGCGTGTAGGTCGAAATCACGGGTTGTGGGAAGCTCACCTGCATAATCTACTGCGCCCAATTTTTTTTTCGAAAAAGTCAGTTTTTGTTTGAAACTATTGGACACTTCTCGAAAGCTACCCTGCCAATTCTTAGGTTAAATGATCAATCGAATCAATTAAAAAAACGGTCTTGGTAAACTTCTCTGCTTGACCGGCCACGATATCAATTTTGCAGAAAACAATTATGGATTTCGGACAGACAAGGTGTTGAACTTTGATAGTTTTTTAGAAACTGTTTGACTTTTCTTAGAAGCTATCCTATAAAATCTGAGATGAAGGGCTCAATCGAAAGAACTGGTTACAAGATTTTTTCGTGCACAAGCGCCCACTCCTAATTTTTATTTAGAGAAATGATATGTTTTTGGATGATTTCAATTTCTTAAAAGTTTTCACTTTTCGCACTTATTTTAGTAGATAAACAACTATGGTTTTGGCCAAAGTCAAAATTTTGAAATTACCTATTTGACCCCGCATCAGTATAACAAATTCCAAAAAAACCAACAATTTACCTCCAGCTTCAGCTGGGCCCCTAGTTATCTTTTATCGAGACATTCGAAATTTTTGGCTCACCTAGTTTTTGTTTTGACTTTTTTGATTTTCTTTTCGCCTATGTCTTTCTTTTACGTTTTTGATGTATTGTTTTTCGTTTCATTTTTTATCTGCTAGCTTGCAATGCTCTTTGCGTGGCTCTGTTAAAGCTGAGCTCGGTTTTAGTTTTGTAGTAACGGTTTAGGTTCTACTGTTTGGAATCCTATTTTTCAATTTTTTTTCAAGACTCATTTTGTTGAAATCATCTGTTTAAAGCTATTCTGGAGTTTTTCATTGTGTTTGCGAAGTGAAAACTTGCAACTGAGTTTCTAACGAAACTGCTGCTAGAATAAATTTTTCTTTGCATGAAGGAAGATTGAGAATGGAAAACAATCGGGAAGTTCGAAGTACATCTGAAGGCTTGGTGGCCTCTTACTCTTTGTGAGTAAAAAATGTGTAAGGATCTAAACTCATTGGGGTTGGACTAATTTTCGTGACTTTTCAGGTGAAATGTCTGAAACAGTAGTTACACAACGAACCAACTGCTGTTCAAACCTGAACCCAAAGAAAGTTAGAGAAGACTTCAAGGAGCAAAAACTTCCAGCATGGCAGCCTTCGTACAACAGTGGAAGCATAGCAATTTCATTTCTGATCATTGCGATTTTTTTTCTCATCTTTGGAATTATTATTACGGTGGAAGAAGTGAAGGTTGTTGAAGTGGAGTTTGACTACACAGACTGCAACAATTGCGACCAAGTCGATTTCTCAGTCAATGAGACCGGGTGTGTCTCGTGTAATTGTAGCATCTCTGTAAATATTGGCGAGGACATTCCGAAGCCTGTGTATGTGCAATACAAACTGGACGGATTCTATCAGAATCATCGAAGGTAAGAATGTCTAGATAACGATTAACTGGGTAATTTTCCTCAATTGCGATTTAAATTAAATGCGAACGGGCGGATTTTCAAAAAATTTTCGGTCAACCAAATTTTTTAGGTCAACCAAAATGATTTTCCGAGCTCTCCTTAAGCACTCTAAAGACCGTAGATGGAGCAAATTTTTCGAAAAAAAAACAGGTTAAAAAAGCCGTTTTTGGGCACTTTTTGGAAAAATTTGACAAAAAAATAGCGTTTTTTTGGCGCGCGCTCCCCTTCCAAGTTAGTATATATTGGCGCCAAAGGCCCCTTTAGAAAAATTTTAGGGTCGGTCGGCCAAAAATGGATTTCTTAAAAAGTACCAAAGGGGGATTTCGGTTTTTTGGCAATCTACTTTTTTTTTTTAATGAGCGGAAAATCTAAAAGACCTAGAAAAAATGTAGATGGTTTTTATATCTACCCGCAAAATACAAATTCAGCCCTGCAAATTTCAGTTGCAATTGCTTAAAAAAGCTCGAAGAAAATAATAGAAAATGTCGGAAATTTAAACTGGTAACATGTTTTTAATATGCCAAAAACTTCAAAACGTACTGCCATGTTAAGTTTTACGAATCTGTCCAGGTACGTTCTCTCTCGAGATGACGTGCAACTGAGAGGTGACTGGGATAAGAAGCCCTCTGGGGACTGTGATCCATATGGAACCAATGAAAATGGGCAGAAAATAGTTCCCTGTGGCGCAATTGCCAACTCCATTTTCAACGACACTTTTGAACTCAGTACTTCAGACGATGTTGTTGTGAATATGTTGAGAACTGGAATTGCTTGGGCCAGTGACAAGGATGACAAATTCAAAAATCCTGACGGCTGGATTGAAATGCTACAAGCTGACCCAAGTAACTATGCCAGTCCGCCTAATTGGTGTGGCAGAACCCTTGTGACATTGGACGTGGACGACGAAAGCAACAATGGTCTGAAAAATGAGGATTTGATTGTATGGATGCGAACGTCAAGCTTGCCGACCTTCAGGAAACCCTGGCGAAGAATCGACCACAGCCAGGATGGGTTCCAGGACGGACTTCCCAAAGGAGTTTACAATCTGACGATCGATTACAACTACCCGGTGTCTAGATTCGGCGCCAGAAAATCAATAATTATAACCAACGCATCGGAGTTCGGAACTCTGAATGAGTTCTTGGGAATCGCATATCTGCTTGTGGGCTGCGTCTCTCTTTTGATTGCTGGGATTTTTTTGGTTTTGAGAGTAAAAGGAGGGTTTGGACTCGCAAGGCCTCGATAAATATCCCAGTTTGTTAAAATCATTAATTTCATTATACCCTGATTCTATCGTCATTAATTATACTTTGCGAAGCTGCAGCTATTTCAATTATTTAGCTATTACCATGAATGTCCAATAACCGTCTTGATTGAATACGAAGTTCACTCATATCGTGAATAATTGTATTATTTTTATTGTATGCTTCTTTATTTCGTCGATGCTTCCTCAGAAAACGTGACATAAGTCCTTAAAGAAGGCAAAGCTTGCTATTATGCCTGCAACGCATAGGTTGGAATCATATCAAATTTAAATTAAGCAAAACTGCGGTAAATATTTGACTGATTAGTTTTAATTTAATTCATGCTGACTGGGTTGATTCTTTTTGCTGTAAATACTTTTAATTCGATTATCCGTAGCTGAATTTAGAAATCAGATATATTTCTTTTTTTATTGCCAATATTTTGATAATTCGGTGAAATATTTGTCGTTAAATTGTACAGGAACGAAGTGATTGTCTCAGGCCGCGATGATTGATCCATCCATTGAAAGTGGGTGGAACTTTGTATTCGGGTGTGTTTTAATTTTTTCTTTTTTCCACGCAAAATCAGGTGCTATAATTGTCCAAGTGTCGAAAAAAGTTAATTTCAGTTTAGTCTAATTTCGAGCGCGTAGTGCAGTCGAGTAGCGTTCGGTATTACACGTTCGTAAAGCGCGTGAGATTCTTAATCTGTATGCAGTATCGAATCCGACACCGTAGCTGAATTTTAACTATTCGATTTTCTACCCTTTTATATTGATCCTGTCTGCTAAGAAAATTTAGTTTGACTAAAAGTAAAATCAATTTTGGAATCTTCATTTAGCGCTTCCTTGGCCATAAAAAGATGAAAAACGATTGTACAAGAAAATTAAAAAGAAAGATTTTAATTTTATTTTCCATTTTTTGACAGTCATGCCTAAGTCACTAATTTTCTAAAATTCTGATTTTCTACATGCGTTTATTGTTTCTTTTCTCATTGTGGCAATATTGGACATTCGGAAAGTGCGTAAGCAATGGTATGTCTGAATAGATTTGACGACGAATTCCAGCATTCAGATGAAGGCATTCTGAATAGCATTCAAGCTTTTTAATGGACGATCTTACGTTTTTCCATGTAATTCGATCAATGCAGTCTGTGGGTTTGAGGCTTAAAGTATTCAGGTCCTGTTTAACACAATCGATCTGGCTTTTTCAGGTCTTCCAGCTGGTTTTTCCAATTGCTGTGTCTGATCGAAAATTATTTTTAAGCCTCGTTTTTGTAAAGCCTTGTTCCAATTATTTAACTTCTTACTAGACTGGGATTCCATTTCATCTGGTATCACAAGGTCATGTACATATAGTATATCCCACGGTTCCGTGGAACGACAGTTTTTCTTCTTAGCCCCATCCATTACTATTATTAATAACAAAGGCTAAGTGCCGATCCTCGATCTTCTTTAATTTTGAAATAATTACTGCATCCCTGGGGTCGGCGAACTCTGATTTTTGACTTGGTGTACAGACACGTTATCAGTCCTATCAGATGCTCAGGGACTCTCTGTTGCCTCAGAGACATGAGATCAGTTCCCTGGGAACATGGTCGAAAGCTTTTTCGAGATCAACAATTATGTGATGCAGGTTTTTTTCTTTTCCGCAAATAGTTCTTCCAATGGTTTTTCAGCAAAACGGCATCGGTAATTGATCTACCACCCATAAGTCCAATGGTGTCAATATCTCTCAAAATTGGAGACATGACTCAAGTTTTCCGCCTCAAAAGCAAATGAAAAATGATCAAAAGGATGCAGCTAGAACAAAATTTAAGCAAAACGTAAACAAATTTCAGCAAAACGTGTATGCCATCTATTTTTGTCAAATGTCGCAGACTTTTTTAGTACTTTTTCGAAAAATTTTTAAAGCTTGTTCCAGTGATCGGATGCCTCTGTAAGATTCAAATTGTAACGGATTGCCTTTCCCTTTGTAAAATGTAGCAGTTTCCATTTCGCTCAAATCGGACGGGATTAGACCAGAGCCCAGAACAGCCCAGCAAGTAAGCTTTTACCGGCAAATATCCGAAGTTAGCCCTGTTGGTCCTGGGTTTTTCTTATTTTTCATTTCTGCTAGTGGCACCTCTTGGATAGTAAATACTCCAATGGGCCAGCCACTCGGTGGATAGCCTCCGTTTCAAATGGACTTGTCTTAAAAGAATTAAAAAGATTTGAGAAGTAGCTTTACCTCTGCGAGAGAGCCCAAGTAAGGAGTTTTCCTTAATATTTAATGAATTTTGCTCCAACTACATCCCCTTTGATCATTTTTCATTTGCTTGGCGAGACGGAATTTTTGAGTCGTGTATCCGTTTTTGAAAGATATTGACACCATTTCTGGCTTGATTTTTTAGCTTCAGCAAATAGATGTTTCACGCACGACTGTGTTTTATCTCAGATATATCTTCCGGTCTTTTTCATTTTCAGAATTCTCTCACCATTTGAATAATTTTATAATTCTGAACTTGAAACGTGTTCAAAAATTTTTCATCAATTTTTTTTTGGGGAGTTCAGAGTTTTTTTTGCATAATTTCAATCACCTGTTGGCTATTTTTTGTGCTTTCCGATGAGCTTGAGTTCCATTCATCAACTGTTTTTCGACCAGCTGTTGACGCAAAGATGACTATGACTCATTTGTTCCTCGAGAAATTTCATTCCATTTTCGCATTTGAGCTATCAACGGGCTCTCTAGAGGTCTAAGAGAGCTAAATATACATTGAATCCTGGAAAAAAAGTTTGCTATAATGGTTTGCTGTTTCGTTTTAGCCCGGTTCAACTTTCCCTACGATCTTTTTCAAGTTTTTGGCACAGTGTTTTGTAAATTGAATGGCTAAAATGCTTTAAAAACATTGGTCTTTCCAATTTTCTGTTACAACAGAATAGACGAATCATTGTCTGTTCTGTTGGCTAAATTACTATATTTTTATTTTCAGATTAAATTGTTGAATAGTATGCTTCAACTGACAGGAATCGCAAAGTAGCTGTTGTTTATGTAAAAATATCATCAATGGTCAGAATGGCCTCCAGCTCTATGGCCAGTAATAGCCATACAGTGGGCATAGGCATGGGTGGGTCCATGAGTTCTAGTGGAGGAGGGATGAGTGCAAACTATAGAAATGACCTCATATGGTCCGCCACTGTCAATCTGGCCAATTCAATTGTGGGAGTATCGCTTCTATCCATGCCGTATGCTCTTAAACGGGTGAGTCATATTTTGTAATTATTGAAAGATGTGCTGGTTAGTCAACTATAACTTCGACAAGCTACCATGGTATTTTGAAGGCTATATTGATCTCAAATAATCTATGTTGAAAAAACGCGAAATAAACATTTCTTAGTTATAAAGTAGGGCTTGTATGACAAGCATCAGCTCATAGTGTGGCATTTCAAGGTGAACCGAATTTTGGTTATACTTTCCGAATATTCGCTACTTTTTTGGATGCTCATATACTAACTTACTGTTGGAAATGAAAAACTTCAATTGAATGAGATCAATTTCCATGCTTCAGTAATTAAAATTTCAAATATTGACGTAAAATTTAGACAAAATTTGTAGTATGTTTAGAATCTTGTTTATTTTTACAACATGGCTGAATATTTTCCTTGTTCTCATCACGTACCCAAATAAAAGAATCAATTGAAGCAAGAAATTGTTTTTTACATTTTGTGTAGGCTGGTCTGATTCTTGGTCTGCTGTGCATCTTCTCCTGTGCTTACTTCACTTACATATCATGTCGCTTTCTGGCCCGAGCCGCTTGTGCAGTGCGCAGAAAGTCATTCCAATATCTCGGTTAGTCCGTGATGCGTTTGGCTAGGAAAGAGGAAACTTGGAAATTTTGGCTGAGCTTTATTTACAGCACATGGAGAGCTCACAAGTCACTTTATTTCATATTAAAGTTTCACTCCACTCAATGTGAATATGCCCCTGAAGTAATTATGATCAATTGCACTTCTTCTCAACTGAAACTTGTATCATGACTTGGTTTGAAGCGAGGCTTTTAGTTATGATTCGACCCAGGGGCGGATCTAGGATTTTCTCGAGGGGGGGGGGCGGATTTTCAAAAAATTTTCCCAAAATTTTGACGACCTTTTTTTTAGGTTGACAAATTTGATTTTTCGAGCTCTCCCAAAGCACTGTTTGACCCCTATTTTGGCAAAATTTTCTGCGCCGCTGGCAAATTTTTGAAAAAACAGTCAAAAAAGCCGTTTTTGGGCACTTTTTGAAAAATTTTGACAAAAAAAATCGTGTTTTTTTTTGGCGCGCGCTCCCCCTCAAATTTAGTATATATTGGCGCCAAAGGCGCCTTTAGAAAACTTATAGGGTCGGTCTGCCAAAAATGGATTTCTGAAAAAGTATCAAAGGGGGACCCTTTGGGTCGACAGGGGGTCGAATCCCTGAGGGGGGGGGGGGGGGGCGTCCGCCCCCCACCCTAAATCCGCCCCTGATTCGACCATTCAACGAGTAGTACCGACAATGAGTTGAAAAATTCAACTCGAGAATTCAACAACAAGTTTTTAGTTCAAAGCTTTGAAGTTTTCCTGAGTAACACTCAAATTGAGTCATGAAAAAGACCAGGGTGGTAATTAACAATGCGAGGAAACTGTTTGCACGTCAATGTTAATACTGGTGTGCATGAGGGGTCTAGGATATAATTGCAGTACGCGGTGTAGTTTCTTCCCGGTGGTGCATATCCTTCAATATTTTTACGATGGTAGGATTTCATTATCCTACTTTTTCTATTTCTGCCAGGAATGATCAGCGATGGTACGTATGCAGCCAACTGTTCTCTCTCCTCTTTCTCTCTAGTCTTATCAAATGTTTCTCTCCTTTGTCGACACTTATCAATGCCTCGAACGAAGCTCAGAATGACCATCTAATCATCAAAAACATCCGTCAAATTTTTTTCAAAGTTAATTGCATGATCATTATGACTATGACTTAGATGAAATAAACGAAGAATATTGGATGATTATTCCGTTCATCGAAAAGTAGACTAGATTTTGTATGCTTAGAAGTATTTTCAGTGAAAGATGGTACTTGCCCTGAGTAGAATATGATATTTTCTTAACTCATTCGCTGTTGACTTCTGAGCTTTCAATTTTCAACTATATATGCCGAATTTCAAAAAGAAAATTGATGTTTTTCCTTTTCATGGCGTATCCGCTTATTATCGGTTTGTTTGCTTGTTGTTCACGTAATATCAATTATATTTTTTTTATTCTGACATTTATCTTGTGCTTCTGTAATTGAAGTCGTAGATTCCTTCAATGACGATTGTATGGTTTTTCAGTGCTGTTTTCCAATGGAGTTCTGGGCAAGACGGTGGTGGAGTTGAGTGTGATTGGACTGAATATCGGCTGCTGTGTCGCCTTCTTCGTCGTCATCGGAGACGTGGCCGCCGAATTCCTTTCCAGATACGTCACAGCTGATGTGAGTAACCTGTGTGGCATGCGAGTTCTAATTAGCGGTCTTAATTAAATTATTTTTTACTTCATCATCAAGGCTCATTGAACAAAAAAGAGCACATGTTTACGTATTCTATGGCAGAAAGGGCTTTCAGTCGCCGTGGAAAAAACACCGGATGTTGCCATGCC